GGGGCGGGCGGGGAGAGGCGGCTCCCTGCGGGAACTCGAGGGAAACTCCAAGGGAAGCAGCGGTTCTCAAGCCGGCGCAGCCCGTGGGCCGCTTTCCAGCGCGCGAGCTCCCAGGGCCGCCCACCCGGTGCGACACGAGCCCTTTCTTCACAGCATGGGAGCCCTTCTCTAGAGACCGCCTCAGAGGTGGCCTGGGGGATGGCCGGGGTGGCAGCAGTAACAACATATCAAGGGTGCTCTGTGCCTGTCTGCCAGGTATTTCCACTCTTAACTTCTCTGGAATACCAGCCCCAAAAGGCCAGCAAGGAACTAAAACCGATCTGTGAAGTGCCCTGTTTGCTCTAGTGTTGTCCTCACGGGCTTTTGGAGCACATCTGTAGCTTGAGCTGTGCGAAGCACACCAGTGGGCCTGCAAATCAACTGCAAGTGGCAGAAATCATTTTTCATGGGTATTAAAAAGTTTAAATCCTCCAACTACAACAGGGCTTTAAATGAAATCAAGGAGTTTGTTTTAGAAAGGCAAGAGAAGCAACAGACCTATGAAAGAAATTGTGTGCTGCAGTGTCTGCACAGGACTGTACTGCAAAAACTGCAACTAGCCTTGGCTTCTATTTTTTCAGAAAGAACAAGAGCAACTGTTTGCTGTGGATCTGATTAGATTTCTCAGATATGACTCCACACCCAATATTGAGCCTGAGGTTTTTAAGAATTTCCTGCCTTCTGATTTAAGACAGAAAAAACTTTAAATGTATTGCCTGTTGCATTCAAACCCTAAATATTAAACCTTCAAACCACAAATATTTCATATAATGCCATTTATTTTTATTGATTTTCAAAACCTAAGCGCATATATTTATCACTCCCCCCCGCCCCCCAAAAAAAATCCCAGGACCAGAGTGCAGCAGAACAAGTTGGGTTGCTCACATCCCTTGCTGTACCCAATGACATTTTATTGCCTGTTGTCTGGTTCCTTTTTGGATGAATCACACATTTAGGGTGTGCTTCAAACTCTGGCAATGCCTCCTTTTAAGCCCTGGTCACCATTTAGCAGGTGACATGTTTCCACGAGCTTTTTGTACTGGAAGTGATACACACTGCAGAATGGGGGAAAAAATTGCTTTATGAGTCTCATTCGTTTTGAATAGTGTTTGTAATTAATTTGCATTGATTTGCATTTTGATGCTGTCTAGATTTCATCCAGAGTAGTATTATACAGGTTCAGCTATAGAGATGTTACAGAAATATGTACAGTGTTTTCACTCTTGCTTATGTAACTGTATATTCTCATTGTTGGTTTCTGTTTCCTATCTGTTACATCACTACTGTTTTACTTTCATTTCTTTCTCTCCTTCCTTCTTAGGTGAGGTTTCATTCTTGTCACTTGCATTCACTTTTTAATTATAGCTCTATGCACACTTCCTTTTAAAAACTTCCAAAAGAAGTCTCATTTTTTTTTTTCTTCGTGTTTTCTCCGTCTCTAGCACATTATTTGTTTGACGGGTCTTTTCTATCAAGCCCGAGGTCTGCAGGACGTGGGTGCAGCTTGCGCAGATAGGTTGGCTGTGTGTTCACCTTGTTTCCCACATTGGTCTGCAGCACTGGTAAATCAGGCCCTGCATTATTTTCAGCAGAACAATGCTCTACAAACTCGAAGAGTTTATAGACATTAAAGGGAGGTTTGTAATTTATTTGGATTTAGAGAAAGTAACTCAGTGCTGCTTGGTGCTACTGCAGCTGTTGCAAGGTTAACACACTGTGGCTGACTTTGTACCTTGTCCATCTGTGAAGCACTCGCTCCCAGGCTCTTGCCCTCTTCTAGCTGAACACGTATGTTCCTCATAATGCAAGAGAACAAAGTTCTTTGAGACCTCCTTCCCTTTCCGTTTCTGCTGAAACCAGTCACGAGGCTCGCGAGCAGGGACAGGACAGGGGAACAGCACCACAAAGCTCTTTCGGGGGCAACTCCGCAAAAACCAGCCGAGCGGCGCCACTTCCCAGCGCGGCGCGGGA